TGTATGACTCGAAGATCCCGTTGCAGTGAATCCAAGAGAATACGACTCTTCTATTTGATGGCCATATTACCATTGTATGCCAAAGGCAGTCGCATTGCTTGAAATCCAAAATATGCATTCAAAAAGGTTTGTTCAGCAAATGCGAGGGGGTATTTTGCTGTTTCCATTTTGGCTAGCATATCATGGAAGATCATTGTGTTGGGTCGAACTAGCAGGACACCCGCATTGACTCCGACTGTGAAGCCTCTCTTGTCTAACCAGATATCGGGAGTGGCGGTGAGTGTATAAGGCAATGTAAACAACTCGTCGAAATTATTGCGAACGATGATGTCGGCGTCGAGATAAACAAGGCTCTTGATACCATAGCTATCCAACGTTCAAAGGTTCAGCTTGGTATATTGATCCTTATAGTGCGGCAATGTGCCAATATCGCTATGAGGGGAGGGATAAGCTTCACAGGAAAGAGATCCCATCCTGCCGTCTGTGCAAGACATTGTTCCTTCCTGGATACTCGATCCGGAAGGTACATGAGGATTCGACGTGCGCTAATGTTATGCGCTTGCAATGTATAACCTAGGGTGGTACTGGTAGGATATAGTCGTGGGTATACATTGTAGAGACAACGGCGTGCTCGTCTGGATTATGAGGTCGTGGATTTGACAGAGTGGAAGGGTTAAACGCGGAGGAATCTAGCATTGGGATAGAGTTTCTGCGAGGAAAGCTGAGAAGTCAACTGAATGACAATACGAGTGATGAAGATAGCACCCACAAGCTTTGAAAGTTATCCAGTAAAGCGACACCAGAACCATGATAGAGACTTTCGTAGACGTGCGAACCATATAATCAGGTATATAATAACCACAGCGAGGTTGAATGCTATAATCCCCACGAATAACTTTCCTCAACGTTGAGCATCCCTTTTGAGTTCCTCTTTTGACTAGGGCTTATGAGAAGATGCTCATAATTGTCATAATTGGGAAACATCGCAGAGCATATCTTGCGAAACGACATGAGAGGATGGAAATGAGAAGTAATTGAAGACTGTCTGAGGAGAGCTCAGGGATAGAGAGGAACGATTTTAGGTCAGGAAAAACTGAAAGAAAAAAAAAAAAAAACTACCTGCAGTAGCTCGGTATATATTACCATCGCTAAAGGACATGAAGAAGGCCCACGAATAGTCCAAGCGTTAATGGGCAATGAAACTTTTCTTACAAAACTGATTAGTTAGAGCCTGTTGGAACGGGTGTCACAACTCCAACTCGACATCGTTTTGCGGAGCACAAAGCCGTATTGCTAAATTTAATCTGAAAATTTCTCCCTTTCCTCTGCTCTCCTTAGATTTATATTTGGCTATATACGCTGTATTAAAAAATGGTCAGATTTGGCTGTATTTGTTATAACGTCTCTTCATTCCCAGAAATACTGATTTCCCATGGCTTCCCAGTGTCAACCGCAGTTGATAAACCACGTTGATATGTGTTCAGTTAACCCCAGTGAGAACTCACAATGCCCAAATCTGATCGTATCTGGTCGTAGCTGAAATCGGTGTTATCGAACGCTTGAAATCTGTGCTAAACTGGCCTGAGCCGACATGCAAGCAAAATGATGCCTGCAGACTATTGTTAGCAACTTAGCATGCATTCAAACCGTGCATACTTTGTGAGCGCATGTGCATGTTTTGAAATAACTCTATATCGTCTGATGCTGATGCTGTTAAGCTCCCAGTGAGAACTCGCAATGGGCGCACCTGAGTCATCTGAGCTGAGCGGAAAATGGCATGGCAAGGATATTTAAATCTGAGTTCATCTGAATGAGTTATATGTAACTCGAAATTTAATAAGCAAATTCACACATGTACACATGGCTATGAAATCAACCATTCAATGAGTCAGACAAGTGTACATGACGACACCCTTTGCAAGTCGCATTGTCAATGTTGCAAACCTCACGATACTTCTTCGCGTGACAAGCTCAAGCGCCTACTCAGGACTCCGACTTAGTAACTCTCGATGAAACATCCCAGACCAGCCTCCTCCTTCTCTTCTTCCAGACTGGAACCAACTCCAAAAAGTCTTCTCAGGAAGGTCTTTGAACCACCTGTAAGTTTCACTTAGCTTGCCTATGCTTTTATTTACGAGTCTTGTCCTGTTGGAGCTTTTACAGTGTCCCTGATGTCCTCGGTGATGGCTGGGTTGATGCAGGTCTTGGTGAGTGGTAAATCAGCTTTCGATTAGGATACCTCTTATCTTCTTTTCTAGATATGTGCCATGGTACCATTTCTTTTATGAAGAACCTCGCTGCCTCTGCTCTCGATGTCACATTGGGCCCGAGTCCTCTAGCTTACCTCTCCCCGAGTTCTCGATTGCCGCGGCACCAGTGCACCCCCTTTTTTTTATGAGATTCTTGAGGCTTATGATAGCAGGACTGGAGAGCGGGATTGTATCATAGATATGCATAAATAATCATGATAATAAAATTTTTGAACTAAATATATTGCAGTCAGGGAAGCTCAGATGAGAACAGATGAGAACAGAGGAAATTGTCGAACTCATATCTCCACAGATGGGCTCAGATCAGTCCATAAAAATTATGTAAAAAAGTCCTAGTTTTCTGAACCCATCGGAGCAGACCTGACCTCATCTGAGCATCAGCCCGATTTGCTGATGCTCAGATGGGCTCAGATGGGCCCATTGCGAGTTCTCACTGGGAGTTAACCTTGATACTGCGATATGGAGGAACTTGCATAATGAACTCACCTCACGTAAGTGCTTAGTTGGGAGAGTCTGGCTCGTCACACGTTGTACTGAGTAGGTATCTCGAATGGCCGGCCGGTCGGTCCTTCAAGTTGGGTGATTAAAACACGATTGATTGATCAACCAATAGTTCAATATTAATTGACATTAACGAAATAGTGTAATTATTGAGCAGGATACAAATCTCCCGATGTCCCTACATGGAAACGGGAGAGATAGAGATACGAATAAATATCAAGAATATATCGACCGTGAAGTACAAGGAAAAGATATAACGATGTGAGAAATGCTTCTGCTTGCTCGCTAACCGCAATGCTTCTCTCTCTAGTCGAAACTACTGCTTCCAATGCATAAGTACCGTGACTTTAGAGCCAACAGTAAGCTTTAGTGATGTACGAACTGGTTTACCGAGCCTTCCAGCCAAGTAAGTACCTACATCAGGAAACCGTGCAACTGTACATAAACTATATAGTGCTATATAGCTTGTATAGCTCTCCGTAGCATCAGACGCTCGCGCTATGAATGCTATACAAGCTATGTAGCGCTATATAGTTTATGTACACTTGTCAGGTTTCCTGATGTAAACCAGCAATGAAACTGTCCCTGGTCTACCCCGATCAGATGTTTTTCTATGGTAGACTACGGTCAGTGTCTGATGTGGAAGAACTTCTCCAGTCGATTTCCGAGAAGAAGCTTCGTAAAATGTAAAGATCACGACAGTTCCGTATATTTCATTTCGAAGCATTCATCGGCGCAGTGCGTGCGGAACAGCTAACCATATTCTGCGGAAAGTTCAAGTTGCTGCAGCCTTTGCGGAATTTTCTTGTGCCGAGTTATGTAATAACTCATGTGGCATTACGGAAAGCTTCTTGAACTTTCCGCAAGCTTTTTACATTGGTTAAGCCGAGGTCTTTCCCCTCATGAATAATAATTCGCAACACGCAAGGGTACTTACTGGGTTAGATAGTGGCCTCGGATTGAAGGCTGGGATAAATCGGGAACAGTCACTATACACCGTGGAGAGGATCCGATAGGCATATCAGCCCCTTATTTCACCGAACAGATCCAGTATCTGTAGAATACGATCTATGATGACCAGGGGGCAAACGATGGGAGGAAACCTGAACAAACACCGCGTGAGAGTCTCGCAGCAGCTCCTTCCACCACAGCCGTTCAGCAGCCAGAGACTTAGAGTTCCAGCAGAGCGCAAGTTCTCGGGAGAGTGCCGTCGCGATCTAGAGCCAGTACAATATTAGTCCTAGTGCTAGGGGGTTGGTGCGATGCTCATGCATCGAGTCGCACTGACCGAATCTCTCTACATGAATCTGTTATGATTCTGAAGTTTATCCTTGTCGGAAAGTACTTTAGACCAACACCCATCCCACATGACCCTGGACATCTCAGGACTCACCGAGTTAACCAGGTGTTTGACCAATAGTACTACAAGATAAAGTGTCCACTACAAGGGGATGTCAGGATTGAACGACAAGGATATGGGGCGCTTAGTTTAGGGGTTTAATATTCGCTCCGCGTCATGCGAATGCGAAAGGTTCTGTGTTAGGTTCCCAGAATGTCTACTTTTTGCCGTCTTGGATTACAAGCTTCGTTCAAGAAATACCTAAAGCTATCTTTTTCTTTGGCTTTGTTGTCTATGTTTCACAGCCTTTTCCCAAAGTGAATGGTTTAGGTAATTGCGATTCTCAAGCTAGCTTGCCACGGATTCATTTCTGAAAGAAAGTACATTGCTATGGGGGTCTATAGCATTGATTTTCTAATAATACATACCCATTATCACTTCGAAGGCAAACGAATATGCATAAGTTACTTGCGCACCAGCTGTCTCACTAGCTAATCCACATTTTTGATTCAGATGGAGAGCACCGAGTCAGTCATATAAGAGATTCAGAACACTCCAAGCCCTGGACGATGCAAGGCTTATCGTTATTATCCATTTAGAAAATGCATGCACAGTGGCAGTCCTCAAATCATGTCGATGACGTTAACACGATGTTTGAGGCTAGACGAATAGAACAGACCACATGAATTGATAAACCGTACGCAAGAAAAGAAATCTGGTTTTAATTCTAGAAAAATTAGTTCTGGAAATAATAAGGAGAAGCACATTGGTCTACTCAATGATTAACTCAATATTACAGTAATGCAGTTCTGCTTACCGATTCAAAATATGAAAAAGGACCCTATAAGGAGCAAACAACTGATGATAGACAAAGAGACGGAATTTAAAAACGACGCCTGTGAGATTCGAACTCACGTATGCAAAGCATATTCGCTTAGCTGTGTAGCAGGCGAACCCGGTAACCACTGCGGCAAAGCGTCACATGTTCACGGTCTCAATGCGGTCTTTTACCTCCGTTTCTCTGAGTCATCGATTGGACCGCAAACAAATGTCTTGACAAATTGAAAACCTTTGCATTCAACTGAACATTGTAATTAAGTACAGATTAATTGGAGACATTTGGGAGATAAAGTTGAGGGACGCGGATATTACAATAATGTACAACAATGGATATCGACATCGAGCAAGGTGTTATACAATGATAATACAAGAGGACGATGATCTGGAAGGAAATTTAATGCCTAAATCCAGGATAATTAGCATAGAAAAATGTAGAAGGAATAATGAACCCACTCTTCAAGTTCAAGCTGTCATCTCCGGTCTCTTTCGTTTACGCCAGGACAGCCATTTTCCGGAACTTGGGCACGATGGAATTAGGCCTCTGACAATTTCTGAGCGTTAGTTGCGGCTGCCCTGTGGATTAAAAATAAAATAAGACTCCTGTGATACGAAGTCGCCTATACTATCTTATCTGCTGGCGCCTCAAGACATGCCGGACACTTCTATACTCCCCATCTACTTACTTCCCTAACGATAGTGAGAACGTGAGGCGTAAAGGGATCGAGTAATAAAAATACATAAACGTCGTCGGTGGCATTTTCGTGAGGGGGTGGCATCAACCGTTCAAGGATTCCATAAGGTTGCAAACCATAGTCATGCTTCGGACCATAGACAACCCTTGAGACTTCGAAAGGAGGATCTGGGACGTAAGAATCGATTTCATGCAGGCTATCCAGCGTCACAGGAAGCATACGCGGTGGCATATGAGGTACTTGACGGGATCTGGAGTGATGGTATTGCGGAGTCCTCGTGGAGTGGACGAGAGGAACAAAGGAATATGGAATACAGGCGCGAGGTCGTTTTGGGAGAGTTGGCTGTGCGGTCCCGAGGGATAGTATTATATATCTTCAATACAGTGGCAGTGATATATGTCGGGAGAGGAATGGGAAGAAGGTTGGCGGGTGATGGATCTGATAATTGGACATATAAGGACAGGGTTTAGAGATGAAAGAATG